TTTATTTATTTTTTAAGGATTTGTTTGTATTAATGTATATGCAGGCATGTCTGTGTATGCATATGTGCACGTACGTGAAGTGCTCTCAGAAGCCAGAAGAGGGTGTTGGATCCCCTAGAGCTGGGGTTACATGCATTTGTGAGCTGCCAAACATGGGTACTGGGAACTGGACTCAAGTCTATAAGAGCAGTAAGTGTTCTTAACTGCTGAGCCATCTCTTGAACCCCAAGCCCTTCTTATTTTTGAGATAGGCTCTCATCTAGCCAAGGCTGGTCTTGAACCAGCATCGTGCAGCTTTGTTTTTGTTTTTTTTCTGCATCTTGGATGCTGTAACAGCTGCCTCTGCCTACCCAGTCTGGCCTCGGATGGTCACAGCTCTCCTCACAATGCTGCCATTAATAGCCTGGGGGTCCCAGCACTGTCCCCATGGTCCACAGAGATTCTAACTGCACAATCCAATCTAATTTTAACTGCTCATCAAAGGATCTGGATTTGCCATCTGTTGTCTCCTGGGTTCTGACAAGTAAAGATGGCCTCTTTGGTAAAGTGACGTTTGAGCAGAGATGCGAAGCAGGTGAGCAAACAACGTGGACATCTGGAAGAAAGCATCAAGGGCAGAGGGAAGCCAGAGACGACAGTGCCTGCATCCCCGTGAACTAGAGCCTTGTGAGTGATGGCAACAGTGACAGAGGGGGCAGGACATGTGGCTCAGTTCACAGTGCTCGCCTTGCATCCACAGAGCCCTGGGTTCCTTCCCTAGTGCCACGTAAAACAGCTGTGGTGGTACTCCTCTGTAATCCCAGCAATCAAGAGGCAGCGGCAGGAGAATCTGAAGTCCAAGGTCGTCCTTGGCTATGTAGAGCTCAAGGCCAGCCTGATAGACTTTTATTAAGTGACTATAAAGATTTATTTTATGGGGCTGGCAGGGGGTTCAGTGACTGCTTTTCTAAGAGGACCCAGATTTGATTCCCAGCACATACGTGGTGGCTCAAAACCAACTGTAACTCCAGCTCCAGGGAGGTCTAGTGCCCTCTTCTGGCCTCCCCCAGTACTACATGCACATGGTGCACATACATACATGCAGACAAAACACTGATGCATATAAAATGAACTGATACATATTAAATGGCATGGAGAACCAAACTCCAGTTCTCTTAACCAATGAGCCATCTGGCCAAGGCTCCTCAGAGTCATCTTAAGGACTTCATCTTTCACTTTGGGAGAAACAGAAACCAGTGGAGATGGTTTTGGATTTTGTTTTAGGTTTTGTTTTTTTTTTTTCCAATTTATATAGTTTACCTGCATGAGTGTTTACCTGTATGTGTGTCTGTGTCCTGTGTCTTGTGACCATAGAAGTCAGAAGACAGCATCAGATTACCTAGAGTTACAGGCAATTGTTGCCTTCCAGGTGGGTGTTGAAAACTGAACCCCGGCCCTCTGCGGGAGCAAGTGTTCTTAACTGCTGAGCCACCTTTCCAGCCCCTGGCTTTGTTTGTTTGTTTTGTTTTGGGGTCAAGGTCTTACGACATAGCCCAGGCTGGCCTCAAATTCCAGATCCTCCTGTTTCCAGTTCCCACATGCTGAGATAACAGGGGTGTGCCGCCACGGCCAGCCTTTGCAGCCGCGTCTGAGCGCTGGTTGGGCACACTGCAAAAAGGTGGCAGAGGCTCCATGGGGGTGAGCTGTGAGGAGAGAGGAGGTCAGTTAGGTGTCAGCTGTGGACATGCTGGCAGAAGATGACGGTGCCTGGGCCCAGAGTGGGTGTGGTGGTTTGAATGTGAAATGTCCCCCATAGGCTCACAAGTTCGAATACTCGGTCTCCAAATGGTACTTTGTGGGGAAGGTTATGGTGCCTTTAGGAGTTAGAGCCTTGCCGGAGGGAGGGGGAGGGCATTGAGGTTTTATAGATTCGCTCCATTTCCTGCCTACTCCCTGCTTCCTGGCCACAGATGTGTGACACCAGCTGCCTCATGCCTCTGCCTTTATCCCTTCCTGCCAGGATCTATCCCCTTATGCTGTGTGCCAAAATAAACCCTCCCTCTTTTTTGTTGTTGTTGTTGTCGTTGTTGTTTTGTTGTTTTTTGGGACAGGGTTTCACTCTGTAGCCCTGGCTGTCCTGGAACCCACCCTGAAGACCAGGCTGGCCTCGAACTCAGAGACCCACCTGTCTCTCCTCCCGAGTGCTGGGATTGAAGGCACCGACCACCATGTCCAGTTTAAAGCCCCCCTCTGAAATTGCTTCTTGTCAGCTGCTTGGTTATAGCATCGAGAGGCGGGACTAATACAGGGGCTGCAGTGGAAAGGGTGAGGGTGCTGATGGACTGGAGTGAAAGAGAGCAAGGGATTGTGGGAGACGCCAAAGATTTTCACCTGAGCAAAGACTTACCCGGAAAGATTTGGGGAGAAGCGGCTTCCCAGGGGAATTAACGATGAACGTGGTTTAGTAGAGGCACAGACTAGAACTGAGTCTTCTGGCGAGGGGGAGGCTAGCCCTCTGCCTGTGCTCCAAAAGCAGGCTAGCCCTCCAGCTGTGCTCCAAAAGCAGGGAGCTCCTCCAAGTCTCCTTAACTGGGTAAAGACTCGAAATCCCCCGTATTCACTCCCTTCTTCCCTGGTTCCCTGACGGAAGTTCTCAGTTCACTCTAACCAAGATCCGTTCCCCTTGAATGGCAGAGTGCCCAGGAATGGCTACATCTGGGAACTGGGAAAGAGAAGAAATGAAGTCTGGAAAAGACTCCTGCCAGGGTCCAGCTGAGGGGAGGGAGGGAGGGAGGGAGGTTGTTTTCGTCTCTGGGAACCTTAGGAAGCCTGTGCCAAAAGAGAAATGTGGATTGAGAGCAACCCCAATCTCACTTGGGTCAGAGCAATCAAAATGTAATTGGGTTTGTGAATAACTAATGTTTACACTGATGTTGTCCTAATAGGACGATGAGACCCGTAGATGTGACTGTCATCTCCACCCCATGAGAATCTCAGGTTTTCACAGAAACTGGGTCAGGCGGGGGAGATAAAGACAGAAGCTACTGTCCTGGGCTAGGGGACCAGGCTGGAAGGAGGCAAGTTCTCTAGGCAGAGGCAAGGAGGCTAGAGAATAACGGTATTGTTGGTAACTCTTCTATGTGATGCTTATGAAAGCACCTACTGCACACAACATTTCCCTCCTGTGACCTCATGAGATGATCTGCACTATTCCCATTTTTATGGATGACACCACTAAGACCCTGGGGAGATGTGAATGGTACAGACAAGTCCAAGGTCAGGCCTGTCTAGAGCCAAGCTCTTCCAATGATGTCATCAGCCAAGGAACCAAGGGGAGTCATGGGAGAAGGTCCCTGCTTTCTCTAGGAGCCTCTGAGAGATGACCCAAGAGGCAGACCAGCTGTGACAACTCTCATTCTCCTGCTTCTGCAAGCTAAACTAAAAGGGACAATATGGGGGCTGGAGAGATGGCTCAGTGGTTAAGAGCACTGGCTGCTCTTGCAGAGGACCAGGGTTCAAGTCCCAGCAACCACATGGTGGTTTGCAGTCATCCATGACTCCAGTTCCAGAGGGTCTGACGCCCTCTTTTGACCTCCATGAGCGTCAGGCATGCACGTGGTACACAGACATATGTGCAAGCAAAAGACTCGTATACACAGAAATAATAACAAATCTAATTATTTTTAAAGATTCATGAGATATCTTGGGAAGGAGACCCAAGTCTAAACATGTAATTCATTAGTGTTTCATGTACGCCTTAGGCACCCAGGCTGACGGTATAATTTTAGACAATCTCTTTAGAGCACCTGTGTTTTGACTGGGACCTGTCACACGAGGTCAGGTGTAGAGTTTTCCACTTAACACCATTATGTCATCATTCAAACTGTTTCAGATTTCAAGGCATCTTGACTTTTGGATTTTATGATGAGGAATATTCACTCAGCCTGACATTACCTTCCCAGGGGTGATACTGGTGCAGTTGGATGGCTGGGGGGCAGGTGGTGTAAGAGGTAATTGAATGAGTGGATGTTGGGATGCTGTGTATGACTCTGTTTGTGCTATGGTAGCTTGGCGAGGTGAGTGACATTTGTCACTGTGCGTGGCGGTACTGCCAGAGATCTCCAGGGAAGCTGAACAGGGGCCAACGTTGCCGCGGGGGCCCTGCCCCACCCCCAGCAGACAAACCACGGGTGTGGGGAGGGCAGGGCTCAGGACTTGTGTAGAACCAGCTTTATTGCATTCCCTGTTCTGGACAGTGTAAGCGATGGCCCTGCCTCTCCAGAGGGACAAATGTGATAAATAACCAGGGAGGACAAGCGGGAGGAGGCGGCCCAGACACCAGAAGTCATAAGTCTCTGTCCAACTGTATGGCAGGCTCATTACAGAAAGCCCGAGGGCCATCCCAGGCTGTGGGTCCTGGGGCTCCAGAGGGCCTCTGGTGTGGGGTTCCTGATGGGTCTGCAGCTCAGGACTCAGGGCTCACTGCCCTCACTCTTAGCAGCCCCCTTCCTTCATGGCGGGCCAGGTATACCCACGCTATCTGTCCGGGTATCAAAAGATTCAGGCCTCTCTTGACCCTCTAACCCTCGAGAAATCGAGGACGGCTTCTGATAAGGGTTTTCCTGATGTTCTTAAAAATAAGCTGGACACATACGAGCCTGGCGGCAGTTGGATTAGCTTTGCCAAATGGTAACATATCCATGGAGGTCTAGGCACAAGTTTGGCTCTGCTACTCACACGAACTTGTGGTCTTGGTAGTAATGCACAACCTATTTCCTTATCTTCTAAGTGGAGCGAGCATTAACATCACCTTACAAGGTGTAATGTGAATGTAATGTGAAATATGTATAGGCATTCACACAAACCTCCTCATGACATATCGGTTGACATATGTGTGCCTTCTGTGAGCCTAGCATGAGTCCATTATACTTAGGTTTTTTGTTTGTTTTTGTTTGTTTGAGACAGGGTTTCTCTGTGTAGCCCTGGGTGTCCTGGAACTCGCTTTGTAGATCAGGCCTGCCTCTGCCTCCTGAGTGCTGGGATTAAAGGCGTGTGCTACCACCTCCGCTGGGGCTGTTATACTTAGTTTTAATTGTCAATTTGAAACAACTGAGAATCACTGGTAAGAGTCTCAATGAGGGATGATCACGTTGGGTTGGCCTCCGGGCATGTCCAGGGGAGATTGTCTTAACTGATATAGGAAGACCCTGTCCACTGTGGGCAGCACCATTCCCTAGGCAGGGGGGTCCTGAACTGTCAAGAGTGGAAACATGGAGCTGAGCAGAAGCAAGCCACGAGGGAGCCCATCTGCATTTGTTTCTCTCTGCCCTCGACGGTGATATGACTGGCTGTTCGAAGTTCCTGCCTTGACTTTCCCTCCATGGTGGACTGTAATCTGGAAATGCCAGCAGATAAGAAGCCCCTTTCTCCCACAAGCTTCTTTTTATTGTATTTTTGTTACAGCCACAGAAATGGAACCAAGGTGGGATCTTCACATAAATGGCTGCACTGCGTTCTCACACCCGCCCTGTGTGGTCAGGCACTATTCTATCTCTTTATACATAAGGTACTATGCCTACCGTGGCCCTCATGGGTGGCACAAGTGGCCTTTGCATCCAGACTGTCTTACATCAGTTTTTTTCCACCTTGATTGCTCACTTGGTATACATTAGGTGCTCAACAATGCATACTTATTGATCCACTGCCGCGTTAAGCTGGACTTGTGGGTTTTTCTCAAATTCAAGAGGTATCTGACATTTGCATGACTATTAAACCCCATCACCTGCTTTCTTGTTTAACCTCAGATGCGATGGAGACTCCTCATTTTTAGAGATAGCTGTAACGATATTTATCTGCGTTTGAACATGCATGTATGGCCATGTGCCCACACCTTAGCAAGCACGTGGGAGGCGACTCTCCTTCCACTACGTTGGTCCTGGTCTTCCGGCTTAGGGCAGGCAGCTTTACCCACAAAGCCATCTCACCAGCTTGAGCCTTCCTCTCTGATCCTGAAAGAGAGAAGGGATGCTTGGGAAGGCTTGTTGGTCCACAATGACACACCCAGAAGTGGGGTGGCCAATGCTCACCCTTAGGTTTGCTCATAACCAACTTCAGAGTCCTCAGCAACACTGTGACAGCCTTTCCCGCCATCCTGCCTCACCCAGTTTATTAAGGCCACCCTCAATGTATCATTTCTGATCATCCATGTTCCCCACCAATTTTTAAGAAAAGCATGGTAGTGTGAATGAAGACAAGCCTTGACAGCTGATTCACAGACTCCTTCAGATTCAGCTTTCCACTAACGGGAACTTACCCGCTCCCCAGCTGCCTCCTGGGATCTGATATACTCATTTGCACAAATAATTGAAGAAGGTTAGATGACATCTTGGTGTACACACGGAATATAGAAAAGAAACCACTACAAATCAACAAGAAAAAGGCAGATAAGCCACTAGAAAAACTAACAAAGGGTTGGCACAGATAACTTCCCAAATTTGCCATCTGATTGGCTGTGAGCCTGTGAAAGAGTGCTGTGCTTTATCACCAGGGAGACACAGATGCTGGGAGATTTCCCTCCAGTCCACAGAATCCCTTGACTGCTGGTGAGGATGCTCATGGGAATACACAGTGGTGCTATTTGGTAAAACTACCAATTACACACATCGTGACCCAGAGACTTAATTCTAGGGACTGACTGTGCATGGGAAGTTTCATGTGCATGTCATATGATAAAAAAAAATAGAAAGTCCTATCAATGCAGCCCATAAATCATAGTCCTGAGGGTTAAGCAGTGCTGATTGGCAGCAGGGGGATGGATAAATACATTATGCAATATTCATATTGTGGAATATTATGCAACCATGAGAAAGGACATCTACGGTGCCTTCCAATACAGATGAAGGTTAGATATAATGTGAGCAAAAGAAACTAAATACAAGGTTGTGCATGACGTCACATGCCTGCAATTCCAGCACTTGGGAGATGGAGGCAGGAGGAATAGGAGTTCAAGGTCATCCTTGGCTACACAGTGAGTAGTAGGCCAGCCTGGACTATAGGAGATTCTGTCTCAAAAAAGAAAAAGCATCCTGCACCTAAGGCCCCGGGGAACATTTCATAAGAAGGGCCGGAAAGACTGTAAGTTGCAGAGGATCAGGGAGTTTGCTGTGAGGCTGTGTTTTCTAGTAACATCAGAAGCTACACCCATGACCATCCAAACATGAGCTGAAACAGGATGACACCAATGGCCATGCCAGAGTGGACAGGAAGAAGCCCACAGGGCCTCAACTGAGCCACAGGCAACTGAGGCAATCTGGGAACGGGAGAGGTGGTCCTCCCTAGGGAGGAGCACACCGAGTGGTTGTCCAGTGCCAAATGTTCCTCCTGGAAGGATGCATACAAGTAGCATTATATAGATGAACAGGCCATATTTAGGAATATATAATATATAATTATATAGACATACACACACACTATGTGCATGCAATAGCAATCAGTGGGAAAAGAGACCATGAAGGAGAACAGGTAGGGGTATTTGGGAGGGCTTGGAGGGAAGAAAGGGAGAGAGAAAATGTAATAATATTATAATCTTGCCAGGCGGTGGTGGTGCACGCCTTTAATCCCAGCACTTGGGAGGCAGAGCCAGGCAGATCTCTGTGAGTTCAAGGACAGCCTGGTCTACAGAGCGAGATCCAGGAAAGGCGCAAAGCTACACAGAGAAACCCTGTCTCAAAAAAACTAAAAATAAAAAGCTAAAAAAAAAATTATAATCTCAAAAAAAGAATGTAAACAGCAAGATACAAAATCACAGCAGTCAATAAACAAAAAGCAGACACAAACAGAATATATGTACATTTCACATACACATACACACACACACACACACACACACACACACACACACACACATATATATGAATGTATGCATTTCAAAAATGAGAGACAATAGTCTGTGAAGTTAGAAGCCCTAAGAGGGTTCTTCTTTATGGGGTGACCTAAGTGAGGTACTGTTTTGTTTCTTGCTCTGGGTAGTAATATTATATGGCGTGTCACCCTGGAAAGTTATCAAGCTGTATGCTTGTGACCTGAGAACTCCTGAATGTATGTTTCAATACAATAGTTTTTTTTTTTTAAATAATAAAAGTTGGGCATGTTGATACATGCCTTTAATGCCAGGACTCAGCAGGCAGAGGTAGGTGGATCTCTGTGAATTTGGGGCCAGCCTGGTCTACATAGAGAGTTCCAAGACAGTTAAGGATACATAGTGAAACCCTAGCTCAAAAAAAGAAAGAAAGGAAGGAAGAGAGAGAAGACTGTACACACACACACACACACACACACACACACACACACACACAGAGAGAGAGAGAGACAGAGAGAGACAGAGAGAGACAGAGAGAGACAGAGAGAGAAAGAGACAGAGAGAGAGAGAGA